AGAAACCGACCATCTCCTTGTTACCTCGTACCTATAATTAGTGGGTGTGGTTAAGTGGGAGGAGCAGGTTAAAAGAAAGTACTTTTGTGAATTTTCCCCAATGGAGGAGTTTCCTTGAGCCCATGAAGTTAGTTTGTGAATTAAAGATCAGTTTCTAAAAACAATACAACAATTGTAATGTAATGCAAGTAAATACAATCAATACAATGATTACAAAGTACATACAATGATTTCAGAGCCATTTTTTGGTAAAAGCCTTAAGTATTTTTCAAAATCAGCCGATTTCTTAAAATGGTCATAACTCAAAAAATATTTGTCAGAATCAGCTCAAACTTTCTACATAGCATAAGGACATCAATGTGTATCAGAAAATACCATAAAAATTTGGGGTGATTTTGGAGCCATTTTTTGGAAAAAACCATGGGCTATAGCCTTGGGTATCTTTTTAAAACTGGCCAATTTCTTAAAATAGTCATAACTTGAAAAATATTTGTCAGAATCAGCTCAAACTTTCTACACAGCATAAAGACATCAATATGCATCAGAAAATTTAATAAAAATTTGAGATGATTTTGGAGCCATTTTTTGGAAAAAAAGCATGGGCTATAGCCTTGGGTATTTTTAAAAAACTGGCCGATTTCTTAAAATGGTCATAACTCGAAAAATATTTGTCAGAATTAGCCCAAATTTTTGCCACAGCATAAGGACATCAATGTGTATCAATAAATGACATAAAAAATTTGGGGTGATTTTGGAGCCATTTTTTGGAAAAAACCATGCGCTATAGCCTTGAGTATTTTTTATAAATTGGCCAAATTCTTAAAATGGCCATAACTCAAAAAAATTTTGTCGGAATCAACTCAAACTTTCTACACAGCATAAGTATATCAATGCATATCAAAAAATGCAATAAAAATTGGGGTGATTCCGGAGCTATTTTTTGGAAAAAAGCATGGGCTATAGCCTTGGGTATTTAAAAAAACTGGCCAATTTCTTAAAATGGTCATAACTCAAAAAATATTTGTCAAAATCAGCTCAAACTTTCTACACAGCATAAGGACACCAATATGTATCAGAAAATTTAATAAAAATTTGGGGTAATTTCGGAGCCATTTTTTAAAAAAACCACGGGCTATAGCCTTTGTACATGCACAGGTCTGTACCTCATTCAATGTGACGTGTACATGAGATTGAAGCCACTCAAGTGATTCAGCGTTTTCCTTAGCTCTCACTCCATCATTAACTTGTGAACACAATGTCTCTGATGCTTGCAATGCCATCAATAATGACTCATAGTCTGGATCAGTATTAGGAGTATACTCTAATATCTGATGGAGGAAAGAGAGAGAGAAATGAATGTACCATGTACATGTATGATAAAAATTATGAT